CAACATTTGGTTAATTTCAAAAAAACAACATTATAATTATGAACTTAACTCTATATAACCAATAATATTAATTGATCATACTAAAAAAATCTTAACAAAAATTCTAACAATCAGACTAACAAACATTTTAGTTCAAAATAAAGTACTTTTTTTATATAATTTTGCAACTTTTTCTTAACAATCCACATTATAACCAATTTCTTAACTTATTCAAATTTTGGAAGATGCAATTACAAATAAGAAAAAAGTCTGAATTCTCTCACAAGATATGTTAAAAGCCTTTGACTCAATTCATATACCTATCTTATACAAAGCACTTAAAAGAATCTATATATCAGACAAAACTATAAATCTGATATCATACCTGCTTTTACACTAAATCAACAAAGTAATTATGAGTTTAGGCCTAACTGCACCATACTTGGTTAAGAATAGTATTAACCAAGAAGAGACCTTTTCATTTCTTTTTTGAAAAATATATTATAATTCACTAATCTTAAGAATATACAAAGAACATTTAGAATTTTCTAGCAAAATTTTTAATATAAATCCAAAGAAAATAAATGCTTCTGTAATAGCTTACATGGATAACTTACTTTAAATTGTATCTAACAAAACCTCTCTTACAAACATCTTGAATACTGCCTCTTCTTTTTACAAATTTGCTAATATAAAGGTTAATTCTTCAAAATTAATACTAGTTACAAATTTAACAGATCCAGATAACTTTATACTCTTTGATAAAGAACAACTAATAGCAATTAACAATAGAAAACTATTCAAATATTTGGAAGCATAGTTTTTAACTAACAAAAGACCAACATTAGTACAAAAAGAAATAATGGCTAAAGTAATAATTAATCTAAAAAAGTTACAATTTGCTAATATAACAGAAAAACAAACAATTTATATTATAAATAGTATCATTATTCTATAACTTCTTTATTAACTCTACTCTTCATTTTTTACCTCAGCTCAAGCAAACACTTTTAACAAAATGTGTACTCAATTAGTTAAACATAAGGCAAAACTAGCTTGAGGAATTTCTAACTTCTTTCTATATAATTTAGACATTTATGCATTAACAAATATAACTTAAGCACAACTTTTAGCATTAGTTATAACACTTCAAAAAAATCCAAACCATTCAGATTTTGATTCCTTTTTGAAACTACATTTACAACAACTACAAGACACTGCATTTACAAATATATCTATTCTAGTACAACCTTTAATTTTTTCAATAACTCAAACAAATACACAAACTGGTCAAATAGTACTAGCATTATATGCATTAGGCATGCAAACTTTAAGAGATATTAATAATTGGCTCTATCCAAAAAAATTCATGAACACTTCTATAAATCAAATACTAATGAAACATTTTGAGCCTCCTACCTTAAAGGAAAACTAAATAGACACAATCTTTATTGCATTGAGCAATTCCTAAATGCTATTAACACAAAACTATCAATATAGAACAATTTCATCATAACATCAAAAAAATACTAAGAGGCCATTGCTTACATTGGTTTCATATAATACAAGACTTAATAGCTATATCTACAAATCCATTCTCAACATATCCACAATGCAACTTACATATCTTGACTAATTAAACTCCTACTAAAAAAGGCTAGATAATCACAAACAACTTAATTTTCGAAAGAATTTATAATTCATCTAATAAGAATCTTAAAACTCAACACTATATACTATTATCTGACAATATACTAGTAGCTTGTAAAGAATGCAAATTGAGCAATACATCTTATCATACCAAATATTGCTATTTCAATACAACAAAACCTATTTATAACTTCCAAGTAGACTGCAAAAAAACAATTTATATTAATTTAGAAGACTTTAAAAAAGTCTTAACACTAACTTTACCAACAATGTCAAGAACTTATAACAAAACAGTACATTCAACTTTGGCCCATCTTTTATGCTTCTTTATAAACCCACTAATAACACTCTGGAATGACTTTGTAAAGCCTAACTTTAATACAAAAACTACAATGATTCATATAACAAGTAGATGACAAAATATTAAAATACCTCTCAAATAGTAGCAAAGTGTTACTTTTAACACTTTTATTTAATTTTTAAATGTTTTAACAACTTCTAACTATCCCATCTAAACATACTAATAACTATATTAAATTTTATACTTATCTTATTAAGCCTCTGCATTTCAATAAATATATATACTAATAACTTCTCTTTAGTTAATCTTGTTAACTTTACAAATTTAATTCAATCATATAATTATCTAATACTAAACAAACAACAATACACTTTTCTTCTTTTAACTCTAAAAGCTTTGGCATATGATCATGTACTTACAATGATCTTTAACAAAGATCTTTAAATCCAAGAAACCCCAAGTATTATTTTCTACTAGACTTTGTATTTCAAAAGTTTCTATATAATTGGTTTGTTCCAAAACTTCTAACAAATTCTTGCGCTTATCTGATAAAAACTATATTAAAACAAGAACATCAAATTATAAAATGTTTAATATGATTCAACTAACAATAAATTTCACTATGACATACTTCTCAGAATACTATTAATTAATCATTAACTCTACAATACATATTATCTAAAGAAAAGCCTTTAGCTTTAACAACTGATCCAATCTTATCAGCAATTAAAAACTTTAAAATCAAACTAATATCTAAAGAACTACCTATTTATCTTATTTATTATTGGAGAAATACCACAAAACATCCAAACTATTTCTGTACAAGATGTTATAATATATTAGAAACTATTATATATCTTCTAACATGTCTTAGAAACAATCCAGATCTTGAAACACTAATAAAATATACATTGATTAAAACTGTAAACAAGTTGAAATTATATTGTAATAATATAAGAAAATTTATTCAAACCTTTACTTACAACCACATCAACAAACAAATATTATTGAGAATAATAATAAATAATACTTTAGCACCATTTGAAAACAACAAGCACAAATATAAATATGTATCTCTTATTTACTACAACATTATTTTAGTAATATACAAAAAAATCTGGCTTACTACTAGAGCAATACAACATGAACCTGCTATTCCAATCCTATCTTTAGTACAACTACCAACTCTAATTAAAACTATACCAATCTTATATACTATATTAAATAAAAAGATATAACTTTATATTATATATAGACAATTTTCTTTTTATCAGCTTATCAAAGACTGAAGGTTTACTAACTATTCTAGCAAAGAATAGGTCAAGAATAAAGTAGCTCTTATCTTCATCTTCTCTAGTATAGTTTTTTTTATCATGTATTTTATATATATATATAATTAACTAATTAATAAAAGAGATAAAAAATATATCTTTTTTTTTAAAAAAAAAAATAATCTAAAGGAAACAATTCAACTAAAACTAAACTAGCAGAGAATTTTCTATATGCTAAACATCCTGACTCTTTGTTACTAATCCATCTTTATGTATAACTTATCATAATAAGAATAAGCTAAATTCTTACTTTTCAATAAAAATTTCTTAGAAAAAAGTAGAGAAGAAATTTTTTAGAACATGAGTGTAAAAGTTTATATTATATAGAATAGCATATTCAATTAGGTTTTATTTTTGCTTTACTTAGATATACATATGAGCAGATTTGTTTCTAATTATCAAAAATATAATTATTGCAAAGCTAATATTGATTGATTATTTTTTTGTTAAAGGTTATATTTGTAGTAATACTTTATTGACTTACATTGGGTTATCTCTTACAACTATTTTTACAGAAATGAGAGTACAGCTAGTTACATATGCAACTTTTAGTTATTTATTTAAGTAGTTTGCCCTAAGGTTTTATATTAAATGCTATATTTATAACCTACTAGATTATTCATTTAAATCCTCTAATCATCTGTTCTGTCATATTGGAATTCCAACTTACCTCTGTATATACCTAATCAGTATACTGTTTGAGCAGTATGGTACCTACTCTTTTTGTACTGGTTCTTAGGCCATTACATATTTCAAAGTACATCACTTGCCAGTAAGGTGCAGAAGGCCTTTCATTGTTAACTATCTATCTACTTTTAGAACACTAACATGAACTATCCTTATGTGTTCACCTAGACTTCAGTACTGACTTTATAGCATATCCCTAGTACTTTTAGTATACTTCTGCTTTGAACTCAGACTCCTAATCCAGATAGCTCAGAAGAACTGTAACCTGTCCTTGGTATATTAAGGCCAGCCTAATATCCTTTTCCTCTGGTCTAAAATCTGCAGCCTAGTTGATAATACCTTCATTTGAGGTCTTGCCTACCTAATTTCTTCATATTGGTATCCATTTCCTAGGTCTAGCCTTTACAATAGTACTGTTAAAGATTTGTATTACTACTTTACTTGAAATTTTTAAGTGAGTTTTGGCTTCTTAGTTCTATAGATTTACACATCTCAAGAATTTATTTTAGGTTTGCACTGCCTAGTACTAGTTTGCATTCCTTTGTGTAACAGGTTACACAGATGTCCCAGATCTGCCAGTCATGCTAGTGCAACCATAGTTACAGATATCCTATCTTAACTGATCAACAGAATGCCATTGCTATAATACTGTCTATATATTACATAGATGATTATTTAAATTTTATTATTAGTAGATTTTAAACTTACAACATACCACTTGGGGGTATAAAAACTTATTCACTTCACTAAGTTGTCACATCTTATGATTGGTTGATTTATTGAATACAATAGTAAATATAGAGTTTTATAAAAATAATCTGCATCTTTTGTTTTAAATATACTATAGTTTGAAATTTTATATTTACATTTTACAAGACCTTAATTTCAGAGATCCCAAAATAGTTTTTTGGAATTTTAAAATAGTTATAACTTTACTAGTGACAATGTCAAAGGGTTTACTATATAAAAATATAAGACCATGTACAGTATATGGCAAGAGTAATCTTACAGAAAAATTTTACAGACTGATACTAAACCTTTTGATTAAAGCTATGCAAAGTTTGGCCACTCTAAATTTAAAGGTTGAACTTAGTTTATATGCCCAACTTTGTCACAAACATTATACAGAGTTGGTAGTATTTAATAGACATTTAAGTTTAAACAAAAAACAAGTACTCAAATTAACTTCAATTTACAAGGTTGACAAAAAACATATCAAAAACAAAAATTCTAATGAATTCAGTACCAGAAATTGTTACCAAAGTGGTATAGATGTTCTTAAAGATGAGAAAAAGACATTTGAATAATACTTAAAATTAACTAGTAATGGAAATTCTAATGGAATTTTAAATGTTAAAATTTGCTATTAGAATAGAATAGGTGTTTCTAAAAATGAAAAAAAAGCATTTAAATGATATTTGAAATCTGCCAAGAATAGGAACTCTAATAAATAATTAAATGTTGGAACTTGTTATCAAAGTGGAGTAGGCATTTATAAAAATAAAAAGAAGATGTTTAAATGGTACTTGAAATCTGCTAAGAGTGAAAATTCCAATGAATAACTAAGCATTAGAAACTATTACCAAAATAAAATAAGTGTTTTTAAAAATAAGAAAAAGGTATTTAAATGGTATTTGAAATCTGCCAAAAGTAAAAATTCTAATGAACAATTAAATATTAGAATTTGCTATCAGGAAGGAATTGATATTTGTAAAAATAAAAAAAAAATATTTAAATAATACCTGAAACCTGCAAAGAATAGAAATTCTAATGAACAACTAATTGTTGAAAACTGTTATCAAAATAAAATAGGAATTCTTAAAGATAAAAAAAGGCATTTGAATGGTCTTTGAAGTCTATTAGTAATAGAAATTCAGACACATAGTTAAATACTAAAAATTGCAATTGAAGTGATTATAAGTTAACTATGACTTTAGCATTGACAACACTTAACAAAAAGAATAACAAAAAGTAACTTTTTTCAAGTATACATTTAACATCAGAACAGTATAAATAATTTGTTACTCTTGGGAAAAATTTTGAAAAAGAACTTTCTGCACTAATTGTAAAGCATCAATTAGTTGAAAAAGACAAACAGCCTATAGGTTATTTGCATAATATTCTGTTAGATATAAATAATAAAAGTGTTAATTTAAGCTATCAACTATTTAATAAAGAAATAAAACATTTAAAATTGAATGCCACTATTTGAGCATATGATGAATCTTTACTATCTTATAATAGTTATTGCCAATTAACTGCTGTTGAATCTCTACTTACTTGAGAACATCAGATTGTAGCATAAAGACTCAAAATAACAAATTTAATAAATAAAAAAATTAAAATTAGAACTTTTAGTACTGACAGATTCAGAGATAATCAACCTGGCTCTACTGATGAAGAATTATTCAAACATAATAATAGTATTTATAAAACAATTGATTCTCTTTTAAATGTTCTTGTTCCTATATGGAAAGAATCTTCTCTGTCTACTTTTATTTTAGATAATACAATTAAGCTAAAATTTAGAGGTGATGGTCATAATATAGATTATATGCAGAATTATGTGTTAATAACTTTTTGTCTTTTAAATGAAGATAAAAAAGTATTAAAGCCTAATTATCAATATTGATAAGTTTTTATTAATTAATTTTAACTACTTATTGTTATTATTAATATTCAATTATAAAGGTTTAATTATAAATATTTTTTTATTTTAAGCATTTGTTTATATATTGAACAAGAAAAATATGATACATTAATAAAAGTTGAATACATATTTGAATATCACTTTTGGATCTCAAAAATAATAGTTTTTTTGATTATAATAGTGTTTATTGGTTAGTAAAACTATATTTTTGCAGGAATTAGAAATTTATATATATAATAATAGAATTAAATGCATCAAATACAAATTATTTTTGCTTGTACTGTAATTGCAATATGGCATCTTAGTAGGATATGGATCAGGCTTGGACCAATTCTAGAAATTTTAAATATATTATAAAAATTATTATTAATAAATATATATTTTTGTAAATTTAAGAATTTTATTTTTGTTGTTTAACAATGTGGTATATTTATTTTATATATTTAAATATATTTAATTAGACAAAAAAACCAACCTTATTTCTTGCAATAAATTAAGAAAACTATATTTCTAATGAACTGCATTTGCTTCTATATATATCAAATGTTTTGATAGAATGTTTTTTTAATGACTAATTTAAAAAAAAAAAATTCAAAAAAAAATAAAGCCAATTATCAAAGCATCATTTAAAGATCTTGGAATTAATTTTGAATTTTTTAAATTAAAAACTACAAGTAGCAAATAGAATTGGACTTCATTAATAGGCACAAACAAAAAAAAATTGTTAGTAAAGTTTTTTGTAACACAATTTATTTCTGATACACATGGACAAACTATTGAACAACTATGACATTAATTTTATCAGTTATATAATATTATATGACAATCATAACTTACTGATCAAGAAATTTATCAATTTAAAGTTAATGCAGAAAATTGGGTTCGAGCTTTTTGCTGTTTGTCTCTAGGCTATATAAATTTTTCACAAAACTTTGGACTTTATTAAAAAACAGATGTTATACTATACATGCATATATTTGCAAAGCATATACTTTTATTTATGTAGCAATTAAAAGCAAAAGGCCTCTCTTTACAAATTTTTTCTATTTCAAGTATTAAAAAAAAAATCATCATCAGATAATAGTTACAGGAGTGACCATTGATGTTATATAACTAATTCTTTACCTAGTGTGCAATACATAAAAAATTTATTTTACAATATTAGATCATTCTACTAGTACATGTTATAATTATAATCCAACACTATTTTTATTATAATAAAATAGTATTGGATTATAATTATAATATGTACTAGTAGAATAATCTGGTATTTTAAAATAAATTTTTTATATATTATACACTGGGTAAAGAATTAGTCATATAACATCAATAGTTGCTCCTGTAGATAATAGTAATATAGATTTTTATTAAATCTATAATTTATATATTTTTAATAAATTTATTATTAGATTCGATTATTTTTTAAGAATACTACTATAGGCAGAAAGAACAAAGAACAATCAGTCATCTATGATATAATGTTCTTTAAAAATTGGCAGCTTTTTTATTTGACTAATAATACCTTCAATAAGTTATTAGCTAAAAGATTAATATAAATAATAAGGAAAATTTATTGCATATTTGTCAAACACAGCTAGTAATCCTGGCTAATAATGAAAATTGTTTAAAACTAATTTTCAGTTTAGCTAGCTAGAATCAAGCTGGTCAATTTTTTATACTGATAATAATTCATGTATAAGTTTTTGATTATTACAAAAATTTATTATATTAGATGAATATATTTTGTTTATAAATAAATAATTTATTTGTTTATAATATAGTAACTTATTCTTTAGTAATCTTACCTAGTATTATATACATTTATAATTGTTATTATAATTACAAATTATAATTAATTATGCATGTGCAAATATCTCAAGCCATAAGTTTTTAAAATTTTATTATATATATATTTTTTTTAAATATTAGCGATGAGGCTATGTCTTTAATTTTATTAAAATTCAATTAAAGTTTTTACAAAGAATAGCTTGCTTTTAAATTATATATGAAGAATAAAGACTTAGACATATAATCTGCAACCTAAATCTACAAGAGTGACCAAGGCTCATCTAGATTTGGGTTTGAGTAATAATATAAGAGAGAGAGATATGGTATTTAATCTATTAGATAGTCCAAAGATCAATTTTAGTAATAATTTGTAATATTAAAATAGAGGATAAGGGTAAACTAGAAAAGTGACTATAAGTTGAATTAGTAGAAAGTATAGTTTGAGGCTATAGGATTCATATTTGTTTATATATTTGGTAGTTTAAGTGAAGAAGAAATTTGATAAAAAGAGTAGTAGCAGTATGGTAAGAGATAAAAGCATTGTGGATAGTAAAAATAAGATTAATAGGAACTAAACCAAATAGAGTAGAAATAAGGAAAGGTATATATAAAGAGTTGTGTAGTTTGAAACTGTTAAGTATAAGGATTTCAGTATGTAAATCAAAAACAAAATTGGCAAACATGTCAAGATTAGTTGTATTTAAAATGCTATTAAGAAAATTAGAGATTAAGTGATAAATTGTTTGGGTTGATGGGCAGATGACCCAATGAAGTGAAAAGCTAGTTTGGTTGCATTAATGACAGAAGAAAGTGAATAAAGAATTATGTTTATAAAGAGTATGAGAAACAGAAAGTTCATCTGTAAGAATTTTAACTTAAAAGATTTTCAGAATAGATAAGTAAAAGCTATAAGCAAAGTTAGAAATTTTTTGATTGTTGTTAATGTAAAGCCATATAGCTTCCCAGTTAATGTTAGGTACAATAGTAGATCATTGTTAAAAACAATGTTGAGATGTCCAGAGTATTATAATATAGGCTTGGCATATAGTTTGAATAAAGCATCAAATAGAAATTTCAATAAAAAATTCATCAAAAAAGAAGTATAGTTGAGATTATAAGGATTATTAGTTAAAAATGTTAGGTAAGGTAATATTTGATGATTATGAGCAAGTTGATTAGCAAGGTTGTTAAATAGATTATCTTGGTATGTAGTAACTTTATAAAAAGTAAGTTGAATTTTATAAGACTTGATAAAATTAATAAGTGTTTGCCAGATAAAGAAATATGAAGTATGAGTATGAAAAAGAGTAGATGCTAATTGGCAAATGTTATAGTATTTAGAGATTACTAATTGTAAGTCAGTAAATATGTGAACAAAGCAATGTCTAGGAGCAGTAATAATTGCTAAAAAAATAGCAAGAATTTCAGCTTTGAAGAAGCATAACCATAGTTTAACTTGTGTCTGAAATGAATTAATAGTTATAAAGTTATTAACTTGAATTCAATCTATGCCCATAGAGCATTGTAAGATACCAGGATCAATAACAGAACTATTGGTATAAAATGAAATAAATAATAGATTATGATTTGAGTTAGTGATAGTCTGAAGATTGTTAACAAGCTAGCATGTTTCAAAAATAGGTAGTAGTTGTTGTAAATTAATTGTAAGTAAAGGAGAAGGTGAAATATGTAAAGGATGTCAAAGAGCAACAAAGTATGCAATATCGAGAAAGTTTGCATGAAGGTTGAAAGTTTTGTCAAGGTTGATGGACAAAGCAGTTTAGTAGCCAAGTTAGTAGGAATGAAAATGGTATATTTGTTAGCAATTGTATTTAAATTAAGGTGGCATCTAGTATATAATATAGTAGTAGAGGAAGGAGTAGAATAGAGATTAGAAAACTGAGACTGAAATGAGCAGTGCTAGTAGTTGATAAGAGTAAGACTAGCAGGTGTATTATGCCTTCTGGCCTTACCAATAATTATTTAGTTATCAAGAACAGTAAGTAACCAAGGTTTAGTATTGGAAGTGAAGTGGCTAGTAAAGTAGCAGAAGTAGTTTATAGAAGGTAAATTATAATAATCACATAGAATGCATTGGTAGAAATGATTTGTAGCAACATCCTCAAGGGTAGTAAACTATTATATTATAACACCTTTTAGAATTTTGTTAAGTCTAGGTAAAATGTGTTGCTAGTGCAAAAGATATAAGTTGTCATGAGTAGTAAGTTGGTTCAGAAAAAAAAGTTTGTGATGTTTGAGTTGTTTTTTGAAAATGGAGTATTTTAAATAAGAAGAAAGAAAAGATTCAAGAGATATGGTTCTATCATTTAGGATATAAAAGATATTGTAGATTAGGCTAGTTGAAAAAGTTCAGCCTATATGTTTGATAAGTTGTATTATTTTGAAGTTTGTAGTTAATCGATTGGGTCTATCAATGATTGGCTTAGGATGGAGAAAAATATTAGTAGAAGACCAGAGGTTGTTTTAGAGTTGTTGAATATGTATATAGATAGATGTGCTTAGTAAGTCAGGATTGTTAAGCTGTTTGAGAAGATTGGAAATATGATGTTGTAGTTGAATATTCCAGATATGTTTAATGTTGTAAATATGAGAATGTAATAGAGTACTGAATGGTATTGTATGGCAAAGTTTAGCTTTAAGCTTAACAAGACCAATGTGTTGAGTAAAAATTTTGTTGCAAGTAGGT